CGCAGGCTGGAGCGCTTACATAATCTAGTTAAAATATATCCCGGTCACATGTAAGATTCAGCCCTGCAGACAGATATCCCACTGTCGCTTGAGCTGCTCTGGCTGCCATTCAGATATTAGAAAGAATATGAACGCAAACACACACTCGCAGACTCGGAGACTTGACAGTGATTAGCTGCCAGATATTCTCCACAGCTTGCATGTGAAGAGTCTGGAAAAAAAAAATGGTCTGGAAGCTTTTCTCTCTGGATGAAGAACATGTGACTGAGTGAAGCCGGACCAGGAAGGGACAAAGGAGAGGGAGGACGCACAGCAGGACGCTGGAGGCACAAACCCCCAGTAATGCTTCTCCTCTGACTGCAAAAGTTTGAATATTAATGCTAAATCCAAGTGCAATTGACTGGGGGCACATATACACATTGCTGCGGCACTGTGCCTACACTACATGTGGTCACATATCTGTGTAGGTGGGGTTAAGTTGCAGAGCTAGCATTTACTTCATCGGGATGACAAATCAGGAGGAGTAAGCTGGTGAGATGGGGGAAGCCAGGCTTAAAAAGTATAAGGGATTCCAGATGTGAAGCTTCGCCTGAAGCATGAGCCGGTCCAGAGCTATGTCAGGTATTTTTCATGAGCAACATCTGAGGATATGATTAAGAAAACAAAAACAACTGCAGTGAATGATTTAAACATTTTAAATATGAAGAGTGGCTTGTGAAGATAGTTGAATCCCTGGAATGTTTTACATTTTGCAGCTGCAGATTTCAATGTATTTTACCAAGATTTTTTGCTTAGGACAAACATGAAGCACTACATAAATGTAAGAATAAAGCTGTATTCTTGTAAATGATTCATTATTAATTAAAATATTTTTGCCTCTTCTTCTTTGCAACGCAGTTCAGACTCAATCTGATTTATTTGACGGCTTCGGGTAAAATAATTTCTTTTAAGCCCTGCTACAAATTTGTTAATTGGATTTAGATCTGGACTGGGCCATTCCAAAATATAATGATTTTCTCTAAGCCATTCCATATTAGCTGTGGCTGCATCTTTAAGGGTGAATCTCTAAATCAGTCTCATGCCTTTTGCAGTCTCTAACAAACTTTCTGTTAGGATTTCCTTGCATTTAATTTCATATAGGTTCAATCACATCAGCTCTGATGTTTTGACTATCCCTCCAGAGGGAACACATTCCCACAGCATGGTGCTGCCACTACCATGTTTCACAGTGGGCCAGTGTGTTAAACATGCTCTAACAAATCTTCGAGGTCTTGATAGAACAGATGTGGTGAGATCAAGATACACCCAGATCGACTCCGATTCACTAATGAGGTGACTTCTTATAGCAGTTTCTTGCATTGGTTTCTACTTCGGGGCATCAGAGAAATGAAGACTAAAAAAACATTTAGATTTTTTAATTTGTGAAACATCATGACAAAGGGAGAATTTTACTTTCATTGTACAATAATGTACCACTTTTTGTTGGTTCATAACAATTTAATTTAAATATATTCAAATGTGACTAAGTTGAAAGGATTATTTTGCATGCAAGTGTCAACACTTTATTTCACCCACAGATTAATGCCCTTCATAGGTTTTAGTTAGTCAAACAATTAAAGGTGCCTTGAAGCAGCTGGTCAGAAAAGAAACTTGCCAAACAAAATTGTGTAATCCTGTTATTGCCTGGATATGAATTGCTGCCAGGACAGAATAATTTGAACCAATAATTTTAGTCAGCCAAGAAACGGATCCAAACGGAAATTGCTCACAAATGTGCCCCTGGGTCATGCAGTCGACAGAAACAGCAAACCTGGTCACATCTTGACCAAATACATTTTAACCAAAAAGTATTTCGAGTCCGTAAGCGGAGGAGCAGATGGCCCGAAGCCAAGTCATATGCACGTCTCACAGCAGAGGACAGCTGCTCATAAGATAAGACACACATAAACATGCTCCACTTCAAGCTGCACCCAAACACTCCCCTGCATCCTTTTGCACTTAATCCTAAAAGCACTCTTCACATGACATGGAGGAAAAACAGAGGTTGACTGAGGTCATCACACAAAGGTCTATGTCTGGGAGAATGTCATGAACAGCAAACTTTGGAGACAAAAATCAGAAGGCTAGTGTGAATTGCCCCCAACCTAATGGAATAAAAAAAGGCCTTTTAAAAGTTGTTTCTCTGTCCATATGTTGTAAAGTGTGGCACTGTGAGTTCTTCAATGACACGTGCTGCTTTTTCTTTTTTCTTCTAAGGAAAAGTTTAGATGAGGACAGATGTGCAGAGCCTGACCTGTAATAAAGTGGGTGTGAGTCTGATTGAGATTTCAATTTTTCTTTTTTTCCATGAATGAGAGCAGGAGACATCCTGTCTCTGCGGGGTACACACTGCTCATGTCGCGTGACTCATCTCGGATCCTGATAGGAGAAGAAAACGCGCGGACAAAAGAGCTGCCTCCTTAGCAAGGAGACTGCAAATTATTTGCTGTTGTTTCTTATGGAGATGACAAATTGGTGAAATTGTCAGACGGCTGAATGGAGCTGGATTAATGTTAATGCTTAAAGATTCAAGGAGATCACACAGACGATTTGCTTAAGCATTCAGGACAATATGCGGTTAATGCATAAAAAACACTTTCAAGCATGAAAGATTAAGTATCTGGATTACTGTATGTTTAATGCCATGTGTATAATTTAGAATACCTCTTTGATCCTTAAACACACAGTTCCTGTGCTTTGAAGGGAATGTGATATACTCCACTGTGACATGGATGGCTTGAAGACAACAAAGGGAAATAACAGTGAGCTGGGAAAACTGCAGGAAGCTCTCTGTCGTCACAAAGTCTGGGGTCAGTGGAGGATCTGAGTCTGGGGAGCACGACTGGAGACCTTTTTTATTTATTTTTTTTTTTATAGGGTCTTTAAAAGATTGCAGGGCAATCAGAATCTGGCAGCTGTGTCATCCCGACCTGCTTTATGTGTACTCTGGTGTGTATGTGCGCACGTGGGCGTGTGTGTGTGGAGTGTATTCTTCACAGCAGGATGTGATTGAAGGCACAGCAGTGCAGAGCAACCTCTCTGTCTGGTTCCAGGGCTGCTGGGTGTTCCTCATTGTGACAGAAGCTCATAAAACTTGAAGTATTCACAAAGGCTAGGCTCCCCTGTGATCACTTGGCCACAAATGACTCTCTGAATTTAACTACTGTGGCACAATCTGCTTGTGCAAAGCACTGAAGACAAGCAAGAGGTCATTCTACGCATTTTAAGTCAGGCAATTCTGCAGCCGGTTGTTGCAACCATCTGGGCAGCGGCGTCCTTGGCTTGCTAATCATCTAACAGAGCTTTTTTTACATCGCACTCATTACACTGGAGGTGGAGTGAAAAGGGCGACGTCGTTTTAAATCCCACTCATCTTCACTGTCAATCGAGAAGGACAGGAAAAAAGGAGGCTGGTTCTTTTGCTGCTGGAGTGGGTGTTCTCAAAGCAAACGTGATCCCGTTTGCAGTGAGAGGGTTCGTGACTCACTGGCATCGACACTTGACTGGCTTCCAACGGAGATCGCTCCTCCTTATCCCACCCTCTCAGCCAAACAGGTCCCATGAGTCATGAATATCACAAATATGCCTTAAACAATTTTAAAAGTGCCTGTGTATCAAAACAATGACTTGTTAGATTTAGGTATTAACTTTGTGCTCTAAAATATCGTCAGAGATCTGAGTTAAAAAGGTTTTAATTTCACTTTATCATCCACCTAATGAAACTCAGATCGTACCAGTGTTGTTACAATAAAAGAGTTTTCTGGTATGATGACTTATAACTCAGGATTTCAACAGACTTTTGTTCAGAGTTCAGCAGATGCCACCAGAAAACACCTTAAACTATTACATTAACCGGTTTAAATGACTTACAACAGCAAATGAAATGACACTCACAGGGCTTTCGATGTACAGAAATCTAACAAAATTGTCATGCTTGTGAAAGTAAACAAGGAATGATAGTTAAGCATACTTTTTTTAATTATTCTATAAAATCTGATAATACATCAGGGAATAACTTCAAAACCAACTTAACCATGTTTCTGTTTCGACTCGGTAAATCCAGCTGAATTTCCAGCGGCTAAGTAGAAGCAAGATTTCCAACTGGGATTTGAAAGTTTAGGTTGGTGAGGCGCAACTAACTTTCCCACTTTAAGGGACCTTGCTATTATTACTTTTTAATTTGGAAGAGAACATTGCAGCAAGGATGGGCCTGTGTTTGAATCCTGGTCCCTCTGCATGGAGGTTGTTTCTTCTTGTGTGTGTGTGTGTGTGTGTGCGTGTGTGTGTGGGTGGGGGGTGTGTGTGTGTGTGTGTGTGTGTGTGGGTGGGTTCTCTCTGGGTACTCTGGCTTCCACCCACTGCCCAGAAATATAACTCTTAGGTTAACTAACTCGCCCTTAGGCATAGTTTTGGGAAGTGCATGGTTGCGGTGTGCGACTTTGTGCTGCCCTTACAGAGAGTAATGGATTGGCACATGTCGAGTTGAGTTTAAAAAGCTACTCAAATTAGTTTATTTATTTATTTTCACACCATGAGAACAAATTTTGAAGATGTGGGGAAAAGATTTGCTCAGTCCAGCTGCTTCCTGAAACCGCGGGCTTTTCATAGCCATGTCCCCTCAACTTACCGACATGCTTCGAGCCATGCATCATCATCATCATCATCATCCTCATCATCATCATCATCATCCAGACGATCATGACGCCGAATGCCTGTGAAGCGTGTAGTGACCAGAGCCCAGCCCCGGCTTGACTTTTCGCACAGCTGCTGAAATGGAAACCGATCCGCGTGTCCACGTGTTTGTGTCATTTCCATGCAATTTGCATATGTAAACTGGCCTCGCCTATTGCTCCGCGGCTGCACCGAATGGACGAGGCGATTCGTCGGCAGGGGCCAGGCGCAGCAGCGAATGGGAGAGCCGCGGCGCGCCGGTCCCGCCCTCTCAGACACGTTGCTTCGGCAGAAGCAACACGGGGTTGATCACTGGCTGTGGCTGCTGCCTCACCGCTCACACGCCGCACACGTCCCTCACATCAGCTGCTCCTCTCCGCCCGACGCTCCTGCCGACGGGATTCACAGCTGAACAAAGGAGGAGAGGACACGACCGGCCGCCGCATCCCGGGAAAGGAAGGTAGGGAGACCAACACATCTCACGCCTCAGCGGTCAGACTATCTCCATGTGAGCCGGCGGATCGCTCCTGTTTCCTATTTTAAAACGACCGTCTGGAGGAATTTAACTGATATAATCACAAGAAAAAAAAAAGAGATCCACTTATTCGAGCTGAAAGTGGATTTTTGTTAATAGGTTTCTAATGTTCTTTTCTGATTATGCCTTTATGTAATTTAACTGGGAGCTGCCAAATTTACTATGATCGATGAGGAAGTCTATTGTGTCTCCTGCTCTGACAGGCGGACAGCCCTGATCATTCACTTTATCTGATTTTTCTCCCCTTATGGTCAATGATTACAATGTTTTATCTCCTCTCGGGTGATATTCTTACATAATGCGACTGTAACTGATGAGCACTGTCTGCACATGTAGGGGCCCCTACCTGCCCAGGTGTGCACCTAAATGGCCGTCTGCATCTTTGACAAATTACCGTACACATTATATCGTTTCTTAATCAAAATAAAGGAATTACAGGCCTGGGTTGTGTTGAAGTGTTTTCAAAGGCCCTGGGTTAATCGATCTTCGTTAAAAGCCCTGCATGTTGTTTCATTACATAAGTAAATCAAGTAAATCAAGGTTAAGCAAGTCCAGCTTGATGCTAGGTTTTTTTTTCTTTTTTTTTTTTAGGTGTATCAAATGCTCAAGTCATTTGTTTTATGAAAGTAAAGTGTAATTGCCTGATGAGACTTCATATCACAGGGAGTATGGGATCTCTTAGTCATCCCATGTTATAAAACAGAGGATTTTTATAACGGACTGTAAAAAGATTAGATAAAAGATGCATACTAATCTGTTTGAACTGCCTTATGGGTTACTATATGTCAATTGCTTGCTATTATAATTTTATAAATAGTCTGGTTCCTGTGATCTTTGATGCTCCTATTTCAATCCGTAAAACAGATGCATGCAGCATTTCTTCTTGGCCTGTTTCGGGTTGTGTGAATGGGTGAACCCCCTCTGCTCCACCCTCGCTCTATGACTATCAGACCAGAATCCTAAAACAAAGAACGAGTGAGCCTTTGCTCCTTCTAACCCTCAAATTTCACAGGAAACCCGAGACATGCCAGGCGTTAACAATCCAACCACTAAAGATAACCCTGCGCTGTTCTCACTTCCTTTTATCGCCAAGGAAAGGCACTGAAGCCCCTGCGAGCAATTAGGCGTTTTGAGTTTTTTTGTCCACGACACATTTTTCAATAGCGAACCAGCATAGAGCTGATGTTTCACTACGTCTTTTATTGCTTCTTCAAGACGTCAACCCTCCAGTCCCGGCCCTGGTCCCACTTTTTGAAGGAAGCTAACAATGTCCATGGATGAATGTAGCAACGGTTGGGGGCCATAATCAGATTTTACACAATATCATAAAATTATGAGGATAATTAAACAAAAAGTGATGATGTTATATAATCAATCTTATTTAAAGGAAATTTAAAGCCAGCAGTATATTTTTAATTTTAGGATAGCAGAAATGAGTATGTTTATTGCTCTGAATGTTTTGCCTTTATACTGCTTGCCTCTGTCTAGAGACACACGGATGTGACATGCTAATGTTAGCAGGTCATTAGTTGGGCTGTCTGTCTTGTGACCAGTAGGCAGTCTGCTGCTTTACAGACTGCCAACTTTTTAAAACAGTTTTATCTCTATAAGAGAGATTGAGGGATGCTTCTTCGTTTTTAACACAATGACCTTATGCGTTTTTGAGACCTGAAGTATTACCAAACAGAGAGGGAAAAGTGTTAGCCCTTAAGCCTTTTCTCAGCTAACTGGTGGGAAATGTGGGTAAATAGCTTGATCATCTATGCAACAGATCAGTCTCGCTTTCTCAGGGAGTACATAAAAATAAGATTTTCAGCCGTAGGAACAATTTGACAAAACTGGTACCTGGCCCATGACTAATCTGTGCACAGCCTGGCATGTGTGAAAACTTACTTCTGTCAGGGTTTACAGTGACAAGAGTTTGGACACGTGTAGATCTGAGGCCTGGAGGGGTGTTTTCGTGTTTGATGGTGCTTGGTCTGTGTTTACCAGCTCAGGTGTTGCATCTGCAAAACAAACAGGTCATTGTGGTCTCACTGCCACCGTCTGCTCTGGCGCCGCTTTGTCCTTACTCATGTCTACTTACTTGGAGATGCTGTGTTTTTAGAAGACCGTTTATTACTGTTATTATTCCACCAAATCCTCGGTTCTCAGACAAGGACGCCTCAGTAGTTATTTAGACTCCAGCCTTGATTTGTTGATATTTTGGTCATGTGTTTCATCTCCACCCATGGCTGTCCTTAATGCGTTTGTTTCATAAATCTCTGTCTCACTCGAGGTCAGTGATGGTCAGTGCTGGTTAGAGCCTGCAGTTGAGGATGTCTGCTACAGATTCGGACAACTCCATCGACTGGCTGGCCAGCGACACAGAAGAAACTGAGAGCGAGCAAGAGCCGGACTGCACCGCCAAGCGCAGCCAGAGAGAGCCTCCTCCGTCTGAGAGCAGCAGCGAGCCGAGCGAGGACAACTGGTGCGGGGTCTCTGGTAGCAGGGAATCTCCCGGCGGCACTGCGAGATCGGACAGAGAATCCGGGAATGGACTGTGTAAATCACAGCGCGGAGAAAAGGCGAACGGCAAGAACACTCAACCGGTGAAAAGACCTCATTGTTCCACAGGAGAGCAGTGCAAGGAACGGCAGCTAATATCCAACGCATTGGAGAAAGATCAAGTTTTTATCAACAAGGTGAGTACCTCTGCAACTGTTGTGATTTGTTTCTCACTGGAGGTGGTTGACAGCGTCAACAAAACGAGGACATGCTCTATCACCCAGATCCATCCCCACACAAACACCCCCCTCACCCCCCACTGCTGCTTTTGCTGATGTTTCCAGTAAGGGTGTCCCTCCTCTGTAACTGCATAAATAGAGTTTGTCATTTTGGTCTCAGAGAACTGTGTCATTTGATAAGAAAGCAAACACTGTGAGTGAGTTATTTGACTTGTATTTCAGAGGTTTTAGCTCATGTTTAATCACCTGACTGTAAATCAATCTGTTATCATTTCCAGTGCATGGAGCTACAATGCTACATCCATCCGCTGTCGTCAATCTTGAATGGCCTTCGTTCAGGGAGATACAAAGAAAGTAAGTCAGCCTGCGCATTTGTCCTCAACATGTTTGTGTAATTAACTTGAATAAGACGACCTCTGATGTTGCAACTGGAGATGCACCAGTCAGGCTTTTCCTGGTTTAAGCTGACTATGACAGGTCCTGTTATTTTTATTGTTTTATTCTGAGAACAGTGACAAATGAATACAGTACAATGAGGCAATTATCAATGACTTGAAAGTGTCACCAAGGGGATGCATCAGTGAGGATGAAAACTTATTGATGCATTAATAAGTTTGACTTTTAATGACTTTTATAATTAATACAAGTGGTTTTTCAGTGTTTTTTCAGTATAGACCTACCAATCACCAATCAGTGCTGATAAAGGAAAAAAGCTGCCATGTGGTTGGTACATCTATAATCTCAAAACTCTGCGTTTTCTATGGTCTCAGCAGAAAATTGAAGCAGGGTTTGTTTTTGTGGAAACTAACTGACTGCTGGTGAAAAGGAGCATTTGGGTCTGTCAACATTTCTCCCAGAAAAACAATGGAGGGAACAGACAACACGCAGACCTTTGTGGAAAAAACGTGTCCCTGAGATCTGAGAGTGTGATGCCTGAAACATGTATTGTTATTGGACTATCCAATAACCACAAATATTCATGAACCCATCTCCGTGTGTTATGTAACGCAGACCATTTCGGGTGAAGGCTCGCTTTGGGACTATGCTATTTCAACAGATAAAGAAAGCACTCAGTGATATTATTTAGCCTACCAACAGTAAGAAACTTTCTACACTTCTTTGCAAACTTGGCAGAAGTGAGTGGGAACATATTGTACCATAGCTTTACCAGAGAAGCAGCTGCTGTTTGTGTTTGGTCCTAGCAGCATTACATGTGCTTTACTGCAGATAATGGCCGTGTCCAGACAAGCTTAGATTTTGGGATCTTGGTCAGACCCGAACCTTATGTGACCCAGTGCCTGCTGCTCACAGAAGCAGGGGAGACTGTTCCCTTGTCCAAACATTTCACTGAGCCCATCTGCTGGACAGACTTGGGGCCTTCTGTTGACGTGCTTCACGCTGCAGCTTTTCGTTCTTTTCCAGGGCTCAGCAGTTTCCAGGAGAGTGTGGCTATGGACAGGATTCAAAGGATCATGGGTGTTCTGCAGAACCCCTTCATGGGGTGAGTTTGACCTACATACCTCTATATTTGTTTTCCTCTAAATGTTGTTTAAAGTGCCTTGAAAAGTATGGAAACCTCTTGACTGCTTCAGATTTTGTCACATTACTTTGTGTTTTGATTTTGTGTTCTGCGTCGACACAACAGAACACTTAGTTGTGAAGTAGAAGAGAAATGGTCATTTTCAGGGATTGTAAAAGCAACCCCTGAAACTAACCGGTGGTATTCAACCTCCCTTACTCTGATACCAATCATTACAAACAATAAATCTTTAGCTTAAAATAACCCACCCCCACGCCCACAGAGATCTACATCTTAGTCGGCATGTGGTGTTGGATGATATTATCCAACACCCATCAAATCTGGCTTTGATGGGAGAGTGGGAAGGTTAGATATTTTTAAAAGAAATGCTAGCCGTTCTTTTAAAAATGTCTAAAAGAATGGCTTGTTTAAACTTTGTCACTAGCCTCTGCTCAGATGAGATCAAAGACAGAGTCTAGTGTTAAACTTGCGCCGCATAACACCCTGAACACACCATCCCTACATTAAAACATGCTGTGGAGATGGCTATCATCAGCTGGGGGCTGAAAAGCTGGTCAGAGATGATGGGAAGATGGATGGAGCTAAAAATAATGACAATCTGGATGAGAACCTTTTAGAAACTCTCAAAAACTTAAGACTTGGGCAGAGATTCCTCTTACAGCAGGGCAGCAACCCTGAACATACAGCCAGAGCTACAATGGATTGTTTTCAAATTGCCCAGTCAAAAGTCCAGACCTAAATCCAAATTCAAATTCTAAATTCAAAGTTGCTTTGTACAGACGCTAACCAACCAAACCATCTGAAACTGAGCTGCAGTATTTTGTGAAACAGAAACTTGTCAACTTTTCTCTTTCTAGATGTTCAGAGCGGTTAGAGACGTAGACCAAATTATTTGCAACTGTGATAACTGTAGAAATACTCTTTAAAAGATTTACAAATAAATGAATAAACCCATAAGTCTTGCACCACTTTACAACAAATCAAATAAAACCCCAATGTAACACAATGGACTTTGTTGCTTTCAGCATGTTGTAATTTTAAATGCTCTTGGCTGTATGAATACTTTTACAGAGCACTGTATGTACCCTCCTGCATTTTATCTTTTTTTTTTTTTACACACTGCAGCCTGGAAATCTGCACTGCCTAAATGTGTTTTTTCGCTGTAGCTTAAATCTGTTGGAGGATCTGAAGTGAAGCACATCCGGCTGCATGGAAATACTGTTTGCTTTCTAAGTGGTCTCCATTATGTCTGTGACACATGGCTCACAGCAGGTCGCTGCTACCCCCACACGCATTCAGGATAAATTTACTGCAGAGACGGCTGAGTCGCTCTTTAGCCGGCCATCTCGTTAAAAATGTATCATGCTCCTCGGTGGGAGAGGGACGCTTGTGTCTGCTTGATTAGCTCTCCATCGACCATACAGTGTAATGGAGTATGATATTACCCCCATCTCCTCTGTAGAAAAGAGAAAGTCTGAGTCCTTGTAATATGATCATCTTTCATCTAATGAAACTGAAGCTTTGTTGTTGATAAAAATAAAAATATAATTTTTTTTTTGCGCTCTCAGTTTTAAAAGCGACCTATTTTTTTCTGGCTGTTCACTGAAAACAAAAGTGGATTAATAATAAATGCACCCGTGATATTTAAGCACAGTTTCTATTGGGTGTATCAAGGTATGCTGCTGAGTCTGGCACAGACTAATTGAAGAGACCTCCCAGCAGCTGCTGCCTTCATATTTGAGACAAAGAGTGGGTGTGGCCGCCTCCCTCAGACAGCCAGGGCTCAGCCTAGAAGGTGGGCTTAGCCCCTCCCACTTTCCTTCAGTTTGTCCACCCCTGCTTTCTGCTCTGTGCTACCAGCTGGTGGCCCCTCCAGCTCCACAAAAGCAGATAGGATCAAAGTGACTTTTTTTTTTCAAGTTTTTTTTTTGTTTCGCTAGCGGATAATCTTCCACATGAATTTTACATGTTTCGAGAATGAATATAACAAGAAGGTTCTGATCGTGTGACGGCGGTTAATCCCCTGCCTACCATTTGTTTTTGTCAGGACTCTTCTGAGCGCGCTGCCCTCCTTCCTCCTCCCACGACATCATCTAGTTTATTTCCACAATGACGCTGTTGGACACCGTTGTGGCTTTGGTGTTTATATTTAGACACAAGCAGAGCTATTACACGTCAAGCCACGTGTGAGCTCCAAACATGTGAGAAATGTACTCAAGACTATTCCCCGCACAAGCACACACTCACACACACGTGCACGCTAACTCTTCAAGGCTGCATATTTCCTAGGTACGTCTGATTGGGAGATAACAGTTCACCGAAGAAGTTGGCAAGATTGTTTGTAGATCAAGATTCATGCACGCTAGCAAAAGTAAACACTGTGTTTCTTTCTCTGTTTTCTCTCCTTCACTTCTGCTTCCGTTCTCTTCCTTTTTTCCCCAGAGAGAAATATGTTGATATCATTCTGAAAATGGAGGCGATGCTAAAGAGTTGGTTCCCTCATGTGAAACTCCAAGAACAACTCGCCACCACACAGACAGAGGGACTTGTGCCCAGTAAAAGACTTAAGGTAAAGGTTAAAAAAAAAAAACAAGCAACCTTGTTGTGTAAGAGCTCCTCAAGACAACATGAGCCGCTGCCAAAAGTGACAGCGTTGCGATGGGGGAGACAAAAATACCCATTGTTATTTAATCACAGCTCTGTGACAAGAAAAGAAGGATTTAAAGCTATTTTTTTTTTGTACTGAGTTTCAGGTTCACTTAGAACAATGACACAAGAACAAAGATAAAACCGGAGGAGTTGCCCTCTCGGGCTTAGAAAGGTCTGAATGTACCTGGAAGATTCCTTTGCATTTAAGTGTTTGTAAAAGCCATTGACGTTAATCTAATCCTCCCCCCCAAAATAAGGAGGTATTATGTTGAAGGGTTTCTTTTTTTGTCATTGTAAAGATGACATGTTATTATAAGTTCTCTTCACAAGCTGTCAGCGTTGTTGTTTCAGTTACTACTGAAACAACATTGAAAAAAGAAGAAGAGAATCTTCTAACTGGAACAGAGATTCACCTTCCAGCATATAGATAGTACAGTCACAGTACGGTCACAATAATGCAGTACTGATCTGGTACATGTGGATCCTGCACACTTCTGGTTTGAACCTTAAAGCGTGTGGCCGAGCCTGTCCTTTAATTTGTTTTTCTTTTTCATCAGGCAATAAAGTGCTAATCCTACCTTCAAAAGTAAAACCATGAAGCATGTAATTATGGAAAGTTGAGTGACTCATTTGTAAATGGATGATTTTTTTTTTAATTTACATAATTATAGGTAATGACCTGTTTACAAGGTCAAAGTAGCACAAGCCACAGAGGTTTATATGTATTTTGCAAAATGTCCTGCATTAATTTAAATCTACTGTCATTTATCACCACAGGCTGGCCGAGATAGTGTTATTACCAAAATGCCCCAGTGATAAATGTGTTCGCCCCTTTCCCGATCATTCCTTCCCTAAAGGTGTTGCTATTAATATCAAACCGTCCCACAAATGATAAGACTGAACTAGACTGTAATCATCTGATCATCTTTTATCTTCTAATTGTCCATAATTTACATGTTTCCAACAGGAGACCAATTAGAGTTATTTTCTTTGATCTCAGATTGTATTGTGTCCTGTTTCATAAGAGCTAACTGGCCTAAACAGGATTCAAAACCCACAGTCAGAGGAAATGTTGTACAATAGAAAACCTTCTGAAAGTAACAAAACGGTTAAACTAGATTACACATGAGATTTGAGAACATTATTCCTTGAAATACTTGCCTAGTTAGAAAAATAACTCATATGTTGTTTTTTGGTACACAGATACAAAATAATATATTTTGCTGCCTTAACATTCAAATGTCAGGAAAGAAACATTCCCTGTCATATTTCTCTTTCATTTTTAAAGATGCGATCTGAAAACCAATTCTAATTTTTCCCATGTTTGGGCAAAGCTCTCTTTTACAGCATCGTATAATTACCGACCGCTGCATCTCACATGCAGTTTCTGAGTGTCATCCGCAGAAACAGAAGAAACCTTCCCTATGTTACCTGTTTGCAAAAAAAAGCTTAAATCTCATTCTCGGCAACTGATGCCAGCTAACTTGTATCAAACAAGTTTCTTCAGAAGTTGTGTCAGGTGATTTGTATTTCCAGTTAGACTACCTGCCGGATTTATTGGCACAGCTGTTAAAGCCATGCAATAATTATAGTTTATTTTAAAAAATTATTTTTATTGGAGTTTTTACACATCTTACTTTTAGAGGAATAAAGTAACAATTTGTAGAACAACTTTACTTAAAATGTTAATCTCCCTTTTTTTAAAATACAGCAAACAAACGATAATATAAACTATTAAAAGACATTTGTATTAATTTGAATGGTCTTTGATTATGTAGTTGAAGAACTGAAGGTCTCCATGTTCCCTTACAGTTATCTCCAATGACAACGTCTGCAGCCGGGAGCTCCGTCTTTCGCGGCGACCCTCCAACCAGCACCAAAGCTCTGAGGGTCACAGACCTGACTCCGCCCGAAGCCTACTCCGCCAACAACCTGAAGTGGCTCCACACGTCGCCTATCTGCTCCCCCACAGCCGAGGAGGCCCAGGCTGGTCCCAGGCACCCGCTGTTGCCCAGAGACAAAGACCTTACGCAAGACAGTGCTGTTTCCTCCAGCACAGACGGCCACGCTAAGACAGACTTTGTGCCCCAAGGTCCACCGCCAGGCAAAATCAACGCGCCCTGCCTGGAGCGGCTCCTTAAATCCACAGACAGCATCATCACACGCAAGGAGACTGGGGGTTTGATGGGCAGCAGCTGGTCCTAGTCCAAACATAAGGGGGGCTGGGGTGTTCGACCCAGCCTCGCCTTGCCCCATCCTGCTCAGAGCCAGTCAGCCAGCTTCGCTCATTCCAGCCTTCAGGATCGCGTTCAAAAAACAAAAGATGGACGTCGCGGATTCCTCTTCAGCACGGAGGGGATGTCGACGAACACGCTGCTGTCTCTGACATGACGAGCGTCCGCCTTCATTTCCCGTTTTCTGTTGACTTATCCTCGTTTCTCTAGCTTGCATTCTCGAGTTGCGTGTGTGTGTGAGCGTCCAAAGGCTACTTGACAAGTGCGCTGATAACCGAAGCAAGTATTGTCAGCACTGGAGTCTTCCTGTTGGCTCCCAGGTTCACTGATACAGGTTTACACCAATCTGCTGTTTTGCTTGGAAGGGAAGATATGTTTTAGCTGGTAGGAAGGATTTTCAGATATTCATACATGGTCTACATATTGTTGTGCTGAAAATGTGGCTGAAATGTGATGGTAGAGACCCCTCTTAGCCCCCCGCCTCCCTTCCCAGTGACTCCACTCTTAGGTTTATTGATGTGACTGTTACTCATTTCTACTCTTCATCGATAAATCCTTTTTGGTACAACTGTTCTACCTCATCGAGCACCACGTCACGGTTAGTGAGTTGGGATGTGACCACTTTGCTCAGAGTCTGGACCCCCGATCAGATCTGCGGTGAGCCAAACGGCCTCCGATGGCGAGGCTGTGCAGTACAAACAGAGGATGCTCTCTCTCGCTCTTTCTCTCCCTGTTGCCTGACTGGTGCCATTGTAAAGAATGTCAACTGAAGAGTTGTTTTTTATGAGTCTCCCAGAAGAAGGCAGACAGTGCCTGCAAAGTCAAGCTGTGCCTGTGGGCTGGTTTGACTAAAAAAGAAAAAGAAAAAAAAAAGAGAAGCGTTTATATTACCTGCACCTCTGTGGGATGTATGGAATCAGGAATTGTCACTCTCCTGCCATTTTCCTGTACGAGTAAATTATTGCCAACTACTAGCTGTGGTGGAGTAGAACAACTATCATTTTGTTTTGCCACAGAACTAGATGGTGTGTTAGATCACCTAAGAGGGACAAGGGATGTGTCTGTGTAAATCTTACTGCGAAGGTTGTCGATTTACCCTGAAAAGTGGCCTTTATAGTGTGAAATTTTATACTTTCTAAATAAATGTGGTTATATTTGTTTGATGCAAACTGTTTGAGATTAATTTCCCCTGTGAATACATTGTTGGATTTTTACTGTTTGATTTAATTGAAGAAGCTTTACAATTTTTCACTTTTTTCGTTTTGTTCAGTTGTCCTTAAATACTTGTCTCAGATTTTAAAACAAAGCCTCCTGCTTTGGCCTAAATTACCTTAAATCCACTTACTCAGTTCCAGAGTTATGGATGGACCCAGTGGGCTGGTTTGACACAACAGGGTTGAGTTGTGGGTTTCATCCACCTGAAACTGGTTCAATATGAATAATCTCTTAATAGGGAAGATACCAAAGAGGGGATGGGAAAACATAACTCACATTATGGATTACTAAACAACTAATTTTAAAATTAAAAAATATGTATAGTTTCACTGAAATTCTGCAATGAAAGATGGACAACATAATGTCTGACGATAACACTTTTACTGAGAAAGAAAGAAAGTCAGATATCAAAATCCAATGCTGCGTGTTTAACATCATATGGAATATTACTCATCTTGATTTTACAAAAAATTGGTTGCTCAAAGTGAGAAAGTTTAATTTAGCTAGTAGCACATTACTTATTGGGTAAACGACTTGTTTACATTTGAGTTGACGGGAACGACATGATACCTAAGGTTCGAGCATCCTAACTGCAATTCGAGTTGTTGGATTACTAAACAATTAATTTTACATATCTCATCTAATTAATGAGATATGTACCCACTTTTAGCAATACATGTAAGAATGCATGTCTCCAATTGTATTTGATAAGACAGAGATGAAACAATGTCATAAAGTTATTTCATGTTTTAAATTACCGAGCTAAATTATAATAAAAAAAAAACCATACACTATTCAATTTTTAATTACTTTTGGCTATGTTAAAGAAGTATGGCCTTTTAAATCGCTTTCAGATATTTAATTCATTTCAAAAAACTCTACTTACGTCTTAAAAATGATGTAAATGTGGATCTTTTTTAAATTCAATCAGATAAAATCAAGCCTTAGTGCACAGCCGTCAGACATCACTTGATTAGAAAATGAACTGGTGTGTAATTTATTATCAGTATATAATAGATAATAAATGCAACTGCTCCATGATGACTTCAGCGATTTGCTATGGAAAACAGAAGTGACCACCCAGCATGACGAAGACCAAGGACACCACAGGTATGTCAGGGATAATGTTGTGGAGAAGTTTAAAACAGGTTGTATCATGAGAATGTGAAAAAGTTAAGGGATATTAATGCTTTTGCAAGACTCTATGTTATACAAGTACACATTTTCATATAAAACAGTATCCAGTTCACTGATTATTTTTTAGGGAAGCTTCCACCAAAAGCCTCAATCTTATAACAATATCTGAAGGAAGAAATGGTGTGTGTGTGTGTGCGTGTGTTTGTTTTCAGACTTGAACTAGACTACAGACTGTACCTGACTATAAAGAAAGGAATGCTAAATATTAGCAATGATTATTACAAAGACAAAAATAAAAAAAGAAAGCAATGATTGTAAATCTGAATAACATTTCTAATCTCTTGAAAAACAGATAGAAATTCAGCTGAGTCCTCCAACCTTGGCACTTTGTGCTACATCTGCTTATTCTCACCTCGGCTTAATCACATAAAAACATGGTGTATTTACAAAGTTTCAAAACGTTTTTTTTTTTTTTTTATACAAGTACTGCACTCACATCCCTTTGAGCTCCGCAGAGTCACGTGCCACTTTTTCTACACTGAAATGGGGGTGATTGGATCGATTAACCACACTGCATTGTTTTCAGCGACACTGTCCCAGATCCCATCAACCAGGGCAAGGCTAATGGTCCAGGCTCACGTGCATAGATGACCTGATAGTGTCCATGGCCAACCACAGTGGGCAAGGACTGTCTGGAAAAACTGAAGTATTTAATTAATAACCAGAGGCGCTGCATCAACAGAAAGGGCACCTTTCTAACTGTGTGGCAGAAAAGGGGGAATGCCAACAGACATCTTGCGATGCCTTCCAGAAATAAAACATAAGAAATATGAAGGGACACAGCTTTAGATGTTATACAGAATGTAGTGTATATTTCAATCTTCTTGTGTATACTGCAAAGATTTTAATATGTAATAGTCTCATCCAGGATGAAAAATTGTATTGCTTTCCATTGTAAAGCTGCAGCATGTTATTTTCCCTTCAGAAAACCAATTGATGTCTGAGTTTCTTTTGTCCAGGCCACATTTTATGGGCAGAACTACAAAGACTGATCATTACTAGAGCAGTGCAAGTGAGAGCCTTTTGTTTAAAGCATTCAAAAGGAGAGTGGGAGAGAGAGAGAGAGAGAAAAAAAAAGGGTATGAGGACTGGTTCAAGGTTCCAGGTGCAAAAGGGTAGATGGAATATTAAATAGGGCCTCATTCACTCAAGCTGCTTTTTGCTAATTGGCCTTCACTTTGAGAGTAAAATGAGAACGGCATTAGCTTGAATTACAGCATGATGGTGTCTCACCATGCTACAGTTATTTAAACGTGCAGACACTGTTATGTGCAAGTGCGCTCTCCTTCACATACCCAATAAAACTAATGGAGATGTCTGCTGTGCAGCTTTTGTCCTGTACAATAGATCTTATTTTTGGAAATAATTGCACCACTTTGTGCTGTTCACTTTTTTAGAGTTATCGGTAAAGTGCAGGTCAAATACTCCAGTCTGTATGCGCTGCTTCTCCAGTTATTACCAAGTTACAATAACACCAATAATGACAACATTTTACATAAATCATCCTAAATGCCAATTTTATTCACTGTCAGACTGTAATCCATGAATCACAACAATATGTGATGCAGCAGTGAGCAGAAGAATCCTCACTGATTTCCTCCATAATCCTGTGAATTGTAAGAACAGGAACTCATGTGAGCAGCTTCGTTTTTGTCCGACTGTACAATGTGTTGAATTGTAGTGTATCCAGGCACCAAAACTTGCTTCTGTTTTGTTTTTGCTCCGCTCCAAACATTTTCCATGAGACTGCCACATGCTAGAATCCCATTCCTGCATAGCAACAAATAGACTCATTATGTCATTACGAGCTGCAAGTGATTCATTCGCACTCTACGGAGATAATGGTCTCATCTGTCAGAGAACCAAACAGCTTTAATTAAGAGATGTGTGAACTGAAAATATCCCCCTGCTCAATTACCAGAAAAGCAGGTTATACAAATAATTAAACAGTAGCAATAATCCAGAGCCGCTTCTGACTGTGGGGTCTTCAATTTGCCAATTCCAATCTGGTTTGAATAAAGTGGTTAATGTTGTCTGGTTTTGTGGGGATAAAAGCAGCGCTCTGAAACAACTCTAAGTTCCAAGTGGCAAAAAAGCATCAAGTGCATCTGTGATTCAGGTAGGATAGGGCCTCTGACATTCAGAGGTGGAATCGATTTTGCTGGCTCCAATATGTTACCCTTTATAAAGTGACAGAACATCTTGCAGTAAAGGCTTGCTAGGTTTTTGTATTTTTGAAAGTAGGAAAAAGGAGATTTGTGTGTGCACAAGAAACTGAAAAATATATATATTTTTTCTCTTGTAAGATTTTTTTCCTAACATGGTTGAGACCTGTTGATTCAATCGCTGAGCCGTGTTTGATGTTCAGGGGATTATAACATTTTATCTCTTGGAGCTATATGTACTGATGTATAAATACACATAAATTCAGACACATCTATGCTTCATAGATGTGACTTGGTGTATGTGCAAAATGTGCTTGATTTGTTCACATTTAGTCCTTGGTAAAAACACGTCTTTTGGTTTGTCAATAGCTTTATTTATCATTTAGCTGTAATTGATGCACTGAATAAGCAGTCACTTAACTACCAAACTAAATTTTCAGACCCACAAATAAACAACAGGTAACCCGCCGGGGCAATACTTCACCATTTGTGGTAGTTTCTGCATAATATGTTTGAGAATGAGTGATCAGTTTCTCTGTTTCTAGGATATTTAATATTTTAGAGACCACGGTAAAACAAACATGCTTGTATGAGATGATTTTAAACAAAATTGCCTGTTTTTTGTTTGCACCCAAATATGTGCTTTTACAAACAGAAGCTGGTGTCAGTCATGTCCTAATTTACCAACTGGATGTTTTTCTCTGAAGACATATAGGGAATGTGGTGTACTGTTAGTCATCCTGGGCGCCACAGATTCACAGCTTTAACTAAAGGTCCATTTCTCAAGTCTCATATTTTGTCCTGAAAGGGAGCAGTAGTCATCCTCCATGCAGTAATGAGCAATCCTTGTCACCTCCCTCGAGTCTAATTGTGCAGGTACCAGTGAGGCAGATCACAGAAGATGAAGCGCAGTGGGAAATGAGATCACTACCACAGAAATGCCACTCAGCGTTCAAGAGAACAGAAGACACTCCTCGCCCTCCCCTTCATTTGCCCACTCCCATTTTGTCTTATTTCCAAGAATAAGTAGGCAGACTGTGCTCTCGTAGGTATGAATAATGGAAGCTGCCGGCAGCAGGAGCTCATTTCCAGTGAGTGATCATCACACCGATGTAAGACCTAATGATCACACAGACAAGGAGAGAGGCTGGCATGCATGATTAACACGGTCAGTTCTGTCTCCAGAGCCACGCTGCCTCTGCTGTCACATCATCAGACCACTCTGAGTGCACAGCATCAAAAGCATCCAGGAAAGTATGTCTGATCATGAATCACTGAACTCAGCACATGGGAGCAAATAAAACAATCATTAATTCTAAATAAAATTTTATGAAATATTTACATTATCCAATATCTTCATAGGTAATTTACAAATATATTATCTATGTTATTTTCCCTTTTTTGTGGCTATGTCAAAAGAACATATGATTTAGATTTTTTTCTGCATTTATTAATATTTCATTTAAATAATACACAAAAACTTATTTACTAAGTTGTGACACATTCGGCTTTTGGTCACTAGGTGGCACTGTTGTACAAAAAAAAAGAAAGCATCTACGTAGAGAACGTTCCCTCTTCCTTACAATTATGTCAAGCTGACTTTGAAGATACACATCTCTCAAAATAAATATAATCGATTTTATAATTTATTTAATAAGGTTTTGATAAAAAT